AAGGAATTTAAATGGCACAGTAGAAAATATCTACTTAACATAAAAAAGAGCAGTAATGGAAGAATTAAGGAATAAAAAGGATATAAGACATATAAGAAACAAATAGCAAAAAGCAGAAGTCCTTCCTTATCAGTAGTTATGTTAAATTTAAATGGATTAAACCCTCTAATTAAACGGCAGAGATTGGTAAGATATATGAAAAAACATGATCCAGCTCTATGTTGTCTATAAGAGGCTCATTTTAGATTTAGAGATACAAATTGGTTGAAAGCAAAAGACTGAAAAAGATATTTCATACAAAACATAACCAAAAGACAGCTGGAGTAGCTATATTAGTATCAGACAAAATAGATTTTAGTGCAAAAATGCTACTAGAGACAAAGAAGGCACCATATAATAATAAAAGGCTCAGTCCCTTGAGAAGATATAACAATTATAAACCCACATACATCTAAAAATAGAGCCCCAAAACACCAAACAAAAACTAACATAACTGAAGGAAGTAATAGCCAATTAATGATAACTGTAGGAGATTTCAATATCCAATTTTCAATAATGGATAGAGCAAACAGATCAGTAAGGAAACAGAAGACTTGATAGTGTCAAAGGACACTATCAAGAAATTAAAGAGATAACCTACATAATGGGAGAAAATATTTGCAAATTATGTATCTGATAAGGGTCTAATATCCAATATATATAAAGATCTCTTAAACTCAATAACAAAAAAGGCAAGTACTTCAATTTAAAGATGGGCAAAGGATCGAAAGGGTATTTCTTCAAATAAACATATACACATGTATATACTTGTATATGTGTGTATATATATACACACACACACACATACATAGTGCTACTATATATATACACACACACACACGTGTATATATATACACACACACACACAAGTGGCCAACCAGTACATATAAAGATGCCCTTCCTTACAGGAAAATATAAATCAAAATGACATGAGATGCCACTTCACACCTAATAATGGAAAAAAAAAAAAAAAGGAAAACAAGTGTTGGTAGAATTTGTGGACATTGGAAATCTTGTGCATTCACATAAAAATATAAAATGGTGTAGCTGCTTTTGAAAACAGTTTGGCAATTCCTCAAAAAGTTAAACATTAAATTATCATATGATCCAGCAATTCCTCTCCTAGATATATACACCAAATGATTGAAATCAGGTACTCCAAAAATCTATGTGTAGACAAATGTTCATAGTAGCACCGTTCATAATAGTCAAAGGGCAGAAAAACCCCAAATGTCCATCAACAGATGAATGGATAAACAAAGTGTGGTATATTCATACAATGGAGTATTATTTAGCCATAAAAAGCAGTGAGGTACCAATACATGCTACGATGTGTATGAACCTCAAAAACATTACACAAAGTGAAGCGTAACACAGAAGGTAACATCTTGTATGATTCAATTGGTGTGAAAGATCTAGACTAGGTAAATCCATAGAAATAGAGAGTAGATTGGTGGTTACCAGGTGCTGGGAAGGAAGACATTGAGAATAGCTGCTTAATAGGTATTGGGTTTCCTTTTGGGGAGATAAGGATGTTCTGGAACTTGATAGAGGTGGTGGTTGCACAACATTGAGAACATACAAATGAACTGTTCACTTTAAATGAATACTTTTATATTATGTGAATTTTACCTCAAATGTTTTACATAAAGGATCAAGTACTGTTACAAATGACAACATAAATGAACCTTGAAAACATTATGCTGAGTAAAAAAAAAAACCAGACACAAAGGGACACATATTACATAATACCATTTATATGAAATGTCCAGAACAGGCAAATCCATAGAAATAGAAAATAGATTAGTAGTTACAGGGAATGGGGGAGGGGAGAAGTAGGACTGACAGCTGATAGGGACAGAATTTCTTTTAGGATGATGGAAATGTTTTGCAATTAAGTAGTGGTTGTGTGACATAAAAACCATGGAACCATGGAACTGTACATTTTGAAATGGTGGCCTTTGTATTATATGACTTTTATCTCAATTTACAAAAAGTATACAGAGAAAAGATGCAGGGAAAATGTATTTTAGAGATATGTCAGGCCGTTAGTTAATAAAGTTATAATAAAATTATGACATTTCCAATATTTATATTATTTTTCAGCTTTTCATTGTTTGTAATTTGTCGTGATTTCTTCTCTTACTCTACATGTGTATTCACTTTTGTACCCATTTTGTATTTTTTTTCTAAGAGGGCTTTCAGATTGATTGCTTCAGGTTTCACAAAACTGGGATGCCACCCTTGCATTACTAGGTACAGAAACTCAGCTACCCAAGGTGCTACTAGATTAAGGAATTCTGTCACCAAGCAGGCTGTGCACTGCTTCAAGAAGGCCCACTCTCAACTCCTCCTTGCAATTCCCTGCCACATCCCACCAGTCCTCAAGCCTCCTCTGAGATGTACCTTCCTTCTCTTCCCACTTCTCCCATTGCCACCACCTTCATTCAGGTTATTGTTGGCCACCTAGACTCTGGCAATCACCTGACTGCTCTACAGTTTCACAAACCACTACTTCCAATCACCCTCCAACTGCTACCTGGGAAGATCTTTCTGAAATGCATATTCTCTGTCTCTTCTTACCTCTGCTGGGAAGCCTTCCAAGGCTCTCATTGCCTGTAGGACAAAACACAAACAAATACATCCTGTCCTATCTGTCTAGACCCATCTCATAGCTTTCCTTCCCTGATGTGCATTCTCACATCAATAATGCCTAACTCCTCCCCTTTCCCAGAATCTCAAGTATTTTATGTCACCTGGTATCTTTTGTATAGTTCTTCTCTCATTTAGTAAGAAATGTCTCCTCCTCTTCATGGAAAATTCTTTATCTGCCTATGTCTACCTCAAGTATGGCCTCTGGGAAGGCTTCCCAACTCCCTCTACAGTCCTTATACTTTACATTATAGTTATTTATACAGATATTTTTGTATCTTATACATTAATGTATATGTTTGCAAATCAACTATAATAATCTGAACTACTTCTGTGGTTGTATATGAGTATAATAAAAAGCATATTGCTAGGTGTCCTACAAAAGGACACATGTTCACGTGTTGGAAACTTAGTTGCCATTGTAACAGTACTGAGAGATGGGGTCTTTAAAGATGATTAGGCCATCAGGGTTCTGTTCTCATGAATGGGATTAATGCCATTATTGCAGAAGTGGGTTGGTTACCTTGGGGAGTGATAAAGGGGTGAAGATAAAAGAATAAGTTTGGTCCCTGTTTTCTCTCTGTCTTGCACACTTTTGCCCTCTTTCTTCCTTGCCATGTGATGCCCTTCTGCCATGTTATGACACAGCAACAGGGCCCTCACCAGATGGCCAAGCAGATGCCAGCACCATGCCCTTGGACTTCCCAGCCTCCAGAATCATGAACCAAATAAATCTCTTTTCTTTATAAATTACCAAATCTGTGATATTCTGTTATAGCAACAGAAAATGGACTTAAACACATTTATATGAATATATGTATATATATGAATATGTATGAATATATAAAATCATATATATGAACATATGTATATATATGAATTTATGAATATATGTGAATCTATATAAAACATATATATGTTTTTGATTTGTTTCCTAAAGAGCTATAAACATATCCAAGGCAGAGATGGTGTCACATCTATTTTAAAAATGTTTTCCTCAGCAGTTACTATATTTTCTGTACTCAGTAGGCACTTACCCATGTGCCAGGGACTCATACAGTGGAGGAAATACTTTTTGAATAAAATTGAATTAAATATTCTTTTCCTTAAGGACTTTAGGCACTGAATAAAGAAACTAGCACATGAACACAATTAGGACTATTAATATTATAAATAAATATCAAGTAGTAAACTGCAAACCAATTAAATGAGCACTGATAACCTAGACAGTGGAGTGGATTACATCATCATCATCCTCCTCATCATCATCATCGTCACAATTGTGTAAAGCTAATCAAAGGAAAACTTTCTGAAGCAGAGAGGTAGTAAACAAATAAAGCTGAAGGGTTTCGGTTCAGGGTAAGGAGAGAAAGTGGTTCTTCCTGGGAGTAAAGAGCTGGAAGACTGACAGGGGAGAAAATTTAAAGATCTTCCTGGGGAAACGGAAAATTCTTTGATCCCAGTGGGAGGCACTTGGGTATTTTAGTGTTTTCTTTGGACGTATTATCTTTTAGTACTGAGATGAAAAGAGATTTAGTAATGTAAGAATTTTTACTACTTTGGCAAAAATTCCCCAAAAGTCACAAATCTCGTTTTGTGAGGGACAGGGAGATGGGAACTCAGCTAGTTATGCTGAGCCAATTCACAGAGCCAAATTAAAGGAAGGCATGGAAAGTACACCTTGTTTTCCCCTCTTCCTGATTCTTTCTCACTTTCAGATGGAGCAATATGAGGGCTTCACAGAAGCAGCAGGCTCTGCCTTCCAGGGACCCGCTGGTGGACTAGGAGAAGTGACTAGAAGCTTTGTTGGGCTAGAATTCCAAGGAGACCATGAATAAAACAAGTCACACTATATTTCTGTGTGAGGCAGGAAGAGAAGGAAATCACCTCTTTTTTGGCATGCCAATGGAAAGGGGATTTAAATTTCCTTGGGGAAGCATGTGCTTATTTAATTATCTAATTGTAAATTTATTATAGTGTTTAATAGTTTTCTCCCTCCCCAATCCCTCCCTCCCTGTCTCCTCCCTCCCCTCCCCTCCCCTCCTCTCCCCTCCCTTCCCTCCCTTCCCCTCCCCTCCTCTTCTCTTTCTTTCCAAAGGGCTTGGTTTGGTGCCTCTCCCCTTCCCATCTTTCTCCTCACGTCCTGAAGCCTGTTTGTGCCCAGTGTTCTGAGCACCACAGAGACCACCAGGAGGGCTTGACCCGGCCTTGGATGAGAATAATGACATGCCTGGAGCAGGAGATGCTCATTAACCCAGAAGAACAAATAACTGATGGGAGAACTAAAATAATAAGATGAGCCAAAGCAGTCTCAAACCACAACATAATCAGCAACTTTAATATTGTATTTCTTTCTTCCTTCAACAAACCATTATGTGTGTGCTGTGTGTTTGGCACTGTGCTAAGCATTTGAGCGACATTGCTGGGTAACTACAAAGAAGACATTTTTGAGCAGACAGACAATGAGTGGATCATATCAGTAATTATGAAGTTACCACTGTGTGTTATAAGAGAGCTGTTGGCGCTGGAGTGCTAGTGGGTGCCGCTCTTCTAGGTGAAGGAGACATCACAAGCCAAGGTTCTGTAGCCAGGAGACATGGCAGGTTGGAGAGACTGAAAGGTGACCAGTATGGTCATTACCAGATTTTACTTTTTAAAAAAACACTCTGACTACTCTATAGATAGAAGCCAAAGTAGGAGGGAATTCTTCAGCGGGACACAGGGTAGCTCGTGAAACCTGAAGTCTGAAAGCACAGCTACATCTCAGTAAAGCCTGGAATCTGACCCCAGAGAGCCTCTCTTTCTTTCTCTCTTAATTTTTTCTCTCTCTGGCCCCCATCTCTTCTCTGTCTGTTTCTCTCTCTTCCTCCTTCTCCTTCACCCTCTCCTTCTTTTTCTCTCTCCCTGCCCGCCATGTTCTTTCTCTCTCTTTCGAACGCCTGCATTACTCTTTGCTCTCTCTGCCACCCCTGATTAGAGCTTCCTGATCTTCCAGTTCAGCGACCCAGAGGAGAACTCCTCGGGACCTCGGTGCCCCACCCACACATATCCTACCCTTGTTTATTCCTTGCTGAATCAGCTGGGACTCACAACTTGTGGGGAAGAAGATGCAACAGCATCCGTGTAGATTTGGTCACTCACCGCTAGAGTTCCAGAGAAGGGGGCTGGCTAGACTCCCCATATATTTGTTTGTTTGTCTGTTTTTTGAGACGGAGTTTCGCTCTTGTTGCCCAGGCTGGAGTGCAGTGGCGTGATCTCAGCTCACCGCAAACTCCGCCTCCCGGGTTCAAGTTATTCTCCTGCCTCAGCATCCTGAGTAGCTGGGATTACAGGCATGCGCCACCACGGCCAACTAATTTTGTATTTTTAGTAGAGACGGAGTTTCTCCAAGTTGGCCTCAAACTCCCAACCTCAGGTGATCCGCCCGCCTCAGCCTCCGGAAGTGCTGAGATTACAGGCGTGAGTCACTGCGCCTGGCCGTGTTTTTTTTGCTGATATGAAATTATTCATTTACATGTTCTTATGCAGTGACCAAACCACAGACTTTTAAAACAGCCACAGGGTGGGGGCAGTCTATTACCCTAAGACAAGACACATTTATTTGGCCAAAGTATTTACTTGTGTGCTTCTTATGTACAAGGCACTGTGATAGGTGCTGGAGAAAAAAAAAAAAAACAGTTCCATACCTTAAATTGCAGAAGGCAGGTATCCTGTGCAGAAGGCAGGTAAGTTAACCAACAAGCCTCCACAGCCTTGGGCACTATGCAGAATATTTCTTGTCTTTAGTTAAATTTAACTCAATTCGTTTGCCATATTACAGGCACAGTGTAAGGGAATACAAAGATAAATGCCTGCACTCTACCCCCAAGGAGTTCAGAGTCCAAGAGAGAGACAGATATATCAACAAATATTAACAGTGCAGAGGGATAAGCCAAGAGTCTAAGTATACGAATAATTCACAGGCAGGAAAGAGAAGGGAGTGATTATCCATCGTCCCCAACCCCTCACTGGGAAGTCTTTGTGGAAGAGGTGACACCTACTCTGGGCTTTGAAAGGCATTTCAGGCAGTGGAGTTGGGGCACAAAGTCACATAGTGATGAAACTGAATGGCATGTTTAGAACGATGTTGCTGGAGGGTGAGAGGAGGATAATGGAGGTGAGTGCCTGAGAAAGTGGAGAAGGCAGCAATGGTAAGATTGTGAGGGGCTTTTTGTACCCTGATTAGGACTTAAGGCAGATGCCAAAGGGCTGGGAGGAGAGATTCATGATTCGATTTTGGTTTTAGCAAGCATTCCAGCAGGACATTGATGACTGATGAAGGGAAGACCAGAATACAGGCAGAGAGAGCAGTCAGAAATCTATCACAGTAATTCAGACATGAGACAAGGAGGACCATGGCATGTGGATGAAGTGGAGAGGCGACACATGAGATACCATCAATTGAGAGAAAATACAGACAGCAGAGGGACAGTGAGACGGAGAAGAGAGAGGTAGATCAGATCATTTAAGTTGGAGGTAGTTGAGCATTTAAGTGGAGATGTTTTAGAAAAAAGTTGGGTATACATGTCTTGAGCAGGCAAAGCAGAGCAGAAATGTAAATATGAAATCTTCTGGAATTTAGGTGTCAGAATGAAGGGAGAGATGGAAATCTCCTAAGCAAAGAAGACAGGAGAAGCCAAGACAGAATACAGTCCCTTAGGATCATTAAAGTGATTACAGATGTAAAAGCCCTATAAGCCAGGAGAATGGGAGGATTTCAAAATTGAGAGTTTTTTTTTTTTTTTAACTTTTATTTTAGGTTCAGGGGTGCGTGTGCAGGTTTGTTATATTGGTAAACTTGTGTCACAGGGGTTTGTTGTACAGATTATTTTTGCAAGGCTCTTGTATCCATTCGAACCCCGAGAGCGCGCCAACAGACAACACGAGGCGGTGGAGCAACACACTGTTTTAATGAGCGCCTGGGTGCAGACGGGCTGAGGCCTAAAATGGCATCAGCATCAAATGAGGACAGGGCAGGGGCTTTATAGTCTCCTGTAAACAGGAAGTGTCTCAGTCTGATGTAACTGCTACGCAGTACCCGGATGGCCTCTCTCTCGGTCTTCAGGGGGTATGTGTCTTCCAGCCAGCTCTCTTCCTGCTTCTGTTATCTTGCTGACGCAGGCTGCTGGCGTCAGTGGCCTTGTGCCTTGGGACTGAGCCTGAGGAGGGAGGAGTTATTCACCCCCTGCCGAGCTTCCAGGCCCTGGGGAAAGTCTATTTGGTTATGGAAAAAGGGAAAAGGGACGTTCTCAATGACTGCTTCAGTCGTGATATGGGGGGTGGGGGGCACCTTGGAAACAGAAAAACTTAATTTGGGGGGTATTCTTGAGAGATGGGTTGGTATTCATAGTGTCATTGCAGCAGGAGCATCGTCTGGATTGTCTGGCGGTTAACCGTAGTTTCAACAAGACTTTTAATAGCTTTTATTATTAGTGAGATAACACGGGGGAGAAATAGGAGGAACCCAATGATGAAGATTACTGTTCCTTCCAGTGTTTTAAATCCTCCTAAATTAGAGAACCACCCTCCTAGAACGTTTATTGGGTCCCATCCCTTCCAGCTTTAGGCTGGTATGTGGGCTACTTTTCTGATGTTTGAAGGGATTTCTAGTACTGCTTTTCTGTTATCGTCTATGTTAAGACAACAGTTGGAGATATTAAACTTACCACAGACCCCACCTTCTGCTAATAAGTAGTCTAGTGCTAGCCTGTTTTGATAAATTGCTGTGCTCATTTAGTTTTGTTGTTGCGCAAGCATTTCCAGGGCTGAGGCGGTTTGTTTAGTGATTATCTCTAGAACCGCCTGTAGTCTTATTATTCTATTTAGCATATATATGGGAGTCCGATAACCCCGTGAACCATCCTCAGCCCAAGTGGCAGGACTGTAATACTCCATGATCTGTTGTGGAGGCCATTTGTCCTGTTGCCATCTTTGGCTTCCTCCTACCTTTAAGGATCATTTTGTTGTTGTTGTTGTTGTTTCGGTTATTATATACAGGGACTCTGAGGGTGTTGCCCGCTGTTAATGTTTTGGAGGAAGGAGTAGTCTTGGGGGTGAGCTTGATCCTGGTGCGATGGGTCCAGTGGGGGAGTCCTTGGACTCTCACTGCAGTTGGCGTGCTGAGTATCACAGTGTACGGGGCCTGTCCACTTCGGTTGTAGGTTTTTGTGAGGGTCGAGTTGGCAGATAAACACATCTGTGCCTGCAAGACAGTTATGTTGAGAGGACAAGGAGATGTTGACAGGAAGGGGCATGGCCTCATTTCCTGCTTCAAGAATGAAAGACATTGTCTGGATTAAGGAGGGGAGATAATTCCCGAGTGGCTCAGAGTCTGGTAAGGGTGGAGGCCCCAAGACAAAAGTTCGGCCATAGGTGATTTCAAAGGGACTATGAAAAGAGGGTGCCTTTGGTGTTGCGCAGCGTCTCATGAGGGCGAAAGGGAGATAGTATGATGCAAGGCTTTTGTATGGGTTCGAACCCTGAGAGTGCGCCAAGAGACAACACAAGATGGCGTGGAGCAACACACTGTTTTAATGAGTGCCTGGGTGTAGAGGGCCTGAGGCCTAAAATGGCATCAGCACCAAATGAGGACAGGGCAGGGGCTTTATAGTCTCCTGTAAACAGGAAGTGTCTCCGTCTGATGTAACTGCTACGCAGTACCCGGATGGCTTCTCTCTTGGTCTTCACGGGGTATGTGTCTTCCAGCCAGCTCTCTTCCTGCTTCTGCTATCTTGCTGACACACGCTGCTGGCGCAAGTGGTCTTGAGCCTTGAGACTGAACCTGAGAAGGGAGGAGTTATTCACCCCCTGCCCAGCTTCCAGGCCCCGGAGAAAGTCTTTCAATTTTGTCACTCAAGTACTAGATTTAGTACCCAATAGTTATTTTTTTCTGATCTTCTTCCTCCTTCTGCCCTCCATCCCTCAAGTAGGCCCCAGTGTTTCCTCTTTGTGTCCATGAGTTCTCATCATTTAACTCCCCCTTATAAGTGAGAACATGCAGTATCTGGTTTTCTGTTCCTGTGTTAACTTGCTAAAAATGATGGCCTCCAGCTCCATCCATGTTCCCACAAAAGACATGATCTTATTCTTTTTTATGGTTGCATAGTATTCCATGGCATATATGTATTACATTTTCTTTATCCAATCTGTCATTGATGGGCATTTAGGTTGAGTCCATGTTTTTGCTATAGTGAATAGAGCTGCAGTGAACACTTGTGTGCATGTGTCTTTATGGTAGAATGGGTATATACCCAATGGGTAGATACACAATAATGGGATTGCTGGGTCGAATGGCAGTTCTGTTTTTAGCTGTTTGAGGAATTGCCACACCGCTTTCCACAATGGTTGGACTAACTTATACTCCCGCCAACAGTGTGTAAGCATTCCCTTTTCTGAGAGTTTCAAAGAGAAAGTCGTCTGAAGTATCAGTTGCTACAGAGTGACTAAAAAGAGGTTATATAAGGATTTAGCAGTTAGGAAATTGCAGCAAATCTTTACCAGGGTAACTTTACCTGCATTGTCAGGAAAGAGAGGCCAGTTACAGGGTTGGAAGTGAAGAAGCTGAGTTATGAGTAGAGGTTGTTCCATTAAGAAAATTGTCTTTGAAGTCATGCGGAGAGAAAGATCAGTAGCTAGAAGGGGACACTGGGTTTGGGGGGATGGTTTTAGAAGTTAGAGTCTTGAACATGTTTGTCCATCGAGAAGAAGCAGCCTGTGGAAAGGAAAACTGAAGGGGTAAAGAGATGGAGAGGGATGCATTCTGGACCAGGGTTGGAGACATTAATTGACAACAACAAGAAGAGCACATCTCCATCTGAAATTGTAAGAAAGGAAATAGATGAAAAAGGTTTGTGTGTGTGTATGAAAGGAAAACTCAGGAATTTTAAACCCAATGACCTCAATTGCTCAAGTATGAAGAAAGCCATTTTCCAAGGTGAAGGATCAAGAACGGAGAGAAACAATGAAGGGCAGGCACTGGTGTTTTACATCTGCTATGAACATGGAAGGAATGAAACTTGCAAAGTGGAACTAACTGGGCATGGAAAACGATTTGAGAAATCATAAATTAGCAGAGATGTCTATCAGCAGCCCAGAGGTCTAGAAGTCCTGCCCATTCTCACACCATTAAACCCAGTTCTAACACACTTTGAACCAGATCGTCTAATTCCTCAAAGCTCAGGGCACCTTGTGCTCATGGGGTAAGTATTCAAATTAGATAAATTAGTACAAAATCCGTGCAAAAGGAGTATAGTAAAATCCTTTAATCTATGGACTCTGCCAGCAGGAACTGAATGCAGGTTTTCCAGTATTAGGAGAATGCTCGCTGGCTGTTTAATGTCTTCACCAAAGACTAGACAATGGGAAATGGGCTTAAAATGCAGCCAAGTTTCAATAAGGAAGAATATTCTATGGAAGAGTAGCTAAACATGTTAATGGGCTCTGAGAGACTACAGGGAACAGCCTGCCCTGTGGAATACATATGTCTTAAGTGGTTTTGATCCAATCCTAGGAGCATGGTTTATTTGATCTCTTAAATTCCCTTTTAGTGCTATGCCACTGTTGGATTTTAAGCAAAAAGGAATATATAGTAGCACATCCCATATAATGGAGACAGCACATAGTACTTTGTTTCTTTCTTTACTTTTTATTTTACTTTCTTCCATAATAGGCACATTAGAGGTAACTTCTATGTAAAATTATCTGGACAGTACATTAAAATAAGTCACATGTGATTATTAATTGTGTCGTAGTCCCATCAAGTAAAAAAGATTCATAGACCCTCAAGCCTCTCTCCAGCCTTGTTGATTATCACTAGCTTGATTAAAGGGAATGATACTCGTTTGTAAATGCATTTGGCAAACTTACCCTGCTATTGTTTCCATTATTTTGCAAATTACAGACATTGAGATGAAGGCTCTGTAATTTCCTAGTGTTCTCTTTATTCCTGCTTGGAAAACTGGTATTGCCCTGGCATACTTCCACTTTGCTGTTATTTCATTTGAATACAGCAAATTCTTTATTATGATTAACAAAGACTTCTGCTCCATTCCTCTTTGAATATCAGTCTGCTCATAGAGATGTGTTGATTTTGAGCCCTGCTGTCTCCTTGAATCTCTCTGTTTCACTGATCTCAAAGATGTTCAAGACAACAGACACCCAAGTATTCCTAAATGACATGTTTTTTTGTGTGTTCTCCATTTTGAATTTGTTATATGTTTAGTAATTTTACCTTTGTCTGGAACTTTTGTCTGGAACTTTTTTCTCCTCTTCTTTAACTTGTCTAATTCGAAATGCCTCCTTAACTCATTACCTAAGAGCCTGAAAATATGCAAGTGGTCGGGTTTGGTAATCTTAACAATTTGTAAGCTTCTTTGCCCTTTGATATTTTGGGGTTTTTCTTCCTCACATCTCTCTCTCAAGATTTTTGCTCAGTGCCAGGCACTTTGGGGGTATCTTGAGTATATGAATAACTTTCCTTGAGCACTATACACTTCTAATCCATTAACTAATAATTGCACTGGAATCACCCAAAATCAGGCTCTCCTTCCTTAAGTCCTGCCTGAATATCTAGTATAATATTCATTGAGCAATCCTCACACCTACAGAGTACTAAGTGAGTATTTTCCTCCTAAGATCAGTCATATTTAGAAAAAAAATCACATTAAATAGAGCTCTTCTAGGTAGAAAGTGTTAGAACCAAAACAGGTGCATGACTGTGACTTGGGAGCCCATCCTCCATGATCAAATATCAACATGGAAAGTTCTTCTCTTATCTCTCTCCCCCAGCTCCTTTTGTCTCCCCCTTCCCTCCCACTCCTCCCTGGTGTCAGCATCTTCAGTCACTGCTTGTTACTTTAACCCAATTGGGCAAATACTGGAAGGAGTGTACTGAGGATAACAATAGCAACAATAACAGCTCACATTTCTTAAGAGCCTAGCACGTGACAGGCATTGTTCTGTGTTTTACATCCTTTATCTCAGTTAATCTTCTCAACAATTGCAGGAGAGTAATACCAGAGAAGTGGACCCTGAGAACTCAGAGAGCTAGCGACTAAGGAGAAGGTACAGGATTTGAACACAGGATGTCTGATTGCAGAGCTAGAACCACGCTGTGTCTGTGCAGAGGAAGCAGCCAATGAATCATGAGTATTTTATGGTGATTATTATTCAGGTGTGTATCTTCCATGTATTGAGTACTACTACCACATGCTTAGGCTGGGTTTAACCTCTCATCTCATTTACTTTTCACAATCACCCATGGAATTAGGATTTCCGTTTAACAATCAAGGAAACTGAACCTCAAAGGCATTCTGTAACTTGCCCAGCATTACTCATCGAGTAAGAAGGGGGGGGTCCTGAATATTCCAGCTAGTCTGCCCTTTTCACCTCTCTTCAGGGTTTGCTTTAGAGAGTGGATTGAATTTTTCCTCATCAGACTGAGGATTCTAATGAGGTCACACTGATGATAGTAATTAGAAATCAGTGGCTTGTGTTTCTCCCTTCATAAGCAGGGTCTTCGTGCCTGAGGGTGGATCACGTGGGCTCCCACACATCTCCTCTTTCTGGGAGCTGTCTGTGCTCTGTCGGCCCCTCTGCCAGAGGGAGGAGTATCATACAGTGGTCTGTGGCACAAGAGGAGAAACTCACACCTGTCTTAACCTCAGCAGTGCTTTGTGTGCCCTGGTGCCCTGATGTCTACAGCTGTCTCAATGTTCTTTAAAATGTAAAAAAGCTCTTTCACTTTTTATTTACAGTCCCTCTACTGTCCATGAGATTCAACTACCAGTGCATGGGGACCAGGCCAGGGCTCAACGCCACATGACAAATGCCATTCTGTATCCAGAATCTTCCTCCTGTCCACTGACTAAGAGGTGCGTTTGTTCCCTGGTAGATCTCATTGAGCCTGGATCTTTCTCTCCTCCTAATGAGCTCTCCGAGGACACTCCTCTGGTGGGGTCACCTTATCAATTTTCTACATATATTCTATGCTTTAAATCTCACTTAGACTCAGGGACAGAGTCCCTACCAGCTGCTTTTTGCTTTTCATCTGTCCCATATCCAAACTCCATAGCTCATGGCACCTATTTCCTTTTGGAAAATTGCTCTTGCCCCCAAATGTTATCTTGGCAGAGGGTAATGCTTGCCTCTGACTAGGGAAGCTGCCCCGCCAGGAAGTGAATGTGCAACCTTGTTTGGCCAGTCGGTGCTCCCCTCTGGGACTGTGAATCATGAGTAGGTGACACAAAGATGTTAGAGATGGGTAGAAATGCTGCCCACTCCTGCTGTGGATCCTGAGGGCTGGCTCTCACATTGCCCCTAATGCCTGCGAGTTCCAAGCCTACAGCTGATTCTCTGAGCTCCTGACATACTTACAATCACTTACCTTTTATGTAAAATAGTCAAGGTGCATTTCTCTTGCAAACTATTAAGAATCCAACTGAAATACACTCAAATTTACAATCTAAATGTGGCCAAAAACATCTTTGTGGCCTTTTGGTCTGTTATTCCCCTCCCTCTTAGCTTCTCCTCTGCTCCCAAACTTCCAAGGGTCTTATGCTGCTTTCACTGTGCAGGCCTCTCTCATCATGGTAACTTTTAAGCTTGCCCTCTCCAGAGCTGAGAAGCCTGGATTTTTTCTCCACCTTTTGTTGCAACACATTCTATTTTCTTCTGCAAAGACTGATGACCAGGGCATCTTCATGGCTGTACAAGAATGCCATGAAACCATGTATCTTAAATCACAGAATACTCTTGAAATAAAGTCTCGTAGGAACAATATGTGTGTCTAGTAAGAGAACAGCATCTCTGGTCCATGCCAAGTCTGAAAACTAGTGTTATGGCTAATCTTGCTCTTCTTCCCCAAGGATATTCATAGCTGTTGATGGTTCTGAATGGGCAGAAGAAATAATATGTGACTGGGAGCCAGAAAAATTAGAATCTTCTTCCATCTCTGGCACCATCTCATTGTGTAGCTTTAATCAAATTACTCAGCAGCGTTTATTATTGAAGTTGGAAAAAATAAAAGCATTGCATTAGATTTTCTTTAAGTTCCTTTCACACTATGATTTGGGTGTTACCTCTTCCAGTGGTATTTGCATTTTGTCTTCCAAAAGATCCCTAGAATTGCTAAATAGTAGAAAGGAGAGCTTTATTGGCGGTATCAGTCTGCAAACCAGGAAGAGATGGTCTTCAGCATGGACCAAAGGTGCTCTCTCTTCAAAGAGGGAAAGGGCAGGTTGGGTTTTATGCCTCCCAGGTCCAGCATCATGCAATAGAATCCTACACATTGAGCAGGTTTGGGGATAAAGCTGTACATATTTATGAAGGAAGTCGAGCGCATGTGCAATGGGTAAACATACATGTAATATACATCCCACGTTCACTTTGAGGTGGGGTTTCAGCATTAAAATGAGGTGGAATTTGGAACTTTACAGCAAAAGGTGAACTATAGGACACAGACAGTTTGTGTGCAGTCTCTATTAAGCTGGCTGAAACTGGCTTGAGGTTTGCAGTTGCTTATCAAGAAAGAATGTTTATAAGACTGGTCCTCTATCCAATCAGAGTTACAGTGACCTGGGTTGTAAATCAGAGTTAGGAAGGCTCTGACACTTTGCCTGATAGCTCCTATTGTTAGGAAGTTTAGCAAGGGTATAAATTTTTTCTTGTAACTGTAGGAATTTAGGAAGTTACCATGCCAGCCAAGCCTGAACCCTTGGCTCATAGATAACTTTCATTCCCTTAACTAGGGTCCATCTTAGTTGAGAAAGGGGCATCTATTTTGGTCTCTCAGATCACAGTTATATCAGAAGATTCTTGAAGTTTTCAAACTCTTGAGATCAAACATAAATCATTAGTATCCAGAAGTCAAGCTTTATAACAGGCTATCAGGAAAAATATTTTTGGTTTACTGAGATGAAGATGAGAGGAAGGAAAAGGGAAGAGAGGAGAGGCTTCTCCAATTTTACTATTTGTGCTTTTTGGAAATTGCAACTTCACAACCCATTCCTTTTCTCATTAGACAAATAATGCAAAGAGCTTAACTACCACACCAGCATGCTATGAGGAGCTCCCTGGTGTGCTTCAATATTGGACCAAACACAAGACAGATGTATTCCTGCTGCCTGTGTAACATTACAACTCATTGATCAAACGCAGCAACATCAACATCTCAAGGAGTCCCTTTGTTCAAAACACAGTAAATGACTCCACATTTTCCCTTTGAGTCAATAAAAGACTCTGCTTGTCACCTTGCCTGGAGCGGGGTGGTTTTTCACTATGTGAGTATCCGTCTTTTCATTTCTGTCCCTTATGTTGGTGGGCACATGTCTGTATTGCTGTCCCTGTTACAACTCACCCCAGTGAATGTTAGCTGTGATGCCGGTAGTTACCATCTCTTGACTGTTTACCCAACAGATAACAATGCTTACAAATGCCTTAAAAATATTACCATTTGGTTTCAACAATTGGATGAAATAAATATATTTTTCTCTTCATTTTGTATGAGGAAACTAGACAACAAGAGGGTCAGTAAATTCCCGAAAGTCATACAGATAGTAAGAGGCAGAGCTGGGCTATGCACTTGTGCTTATTTTCCTCAGTATTCTTGCTGCTACAAGGAACCTTGAAAGATGAGACTTTCAAGAGCGTGAGCAGATTGTCTCAGGAATTGGAGGAGGATAAGCACCTATTACTTATCTCTATTCATTTTGACTCCGGCCTGTGTAAAAGCAGGAAATAGAAGGCATGAGTGTTCTCCATAATATTTGCAGTTCATAAGTTAGAAATTAGCAATCAGCCCCTTTTCACGTAGGACACAATAATAGACACTGGCACAGTCCCTGCAATTTAGTTATGTAAAGAAAACAGGAAACAAGCACATTTTCACTGCAGTTTCAGTCTGAGGAGGGCTGGCATCTGCTGACGTGAGGGCTAGATTTTCTTGTCAATATCGTATTTACTATCCCGATCACATGAGCAGAGAGAGGAGGATGAGTCACAGTTAACTGCCTGCTAAATTAGGAAAATGTAATCCATTTGTTTCTTTCAAATTAGATTCCCCCAAAGCATTTTAGACCTTTTTTTTCCTCAGCAACCATAGCCACAACCTAAACAGCTAACACATTCCCAAACTAGGCTAATCTGGCTGTCTATTATAGCTAGACAATCTGGCTGTCTATTATAAGTAAATAAATTACCATTTTGCAGCATTTCCTTCCAAAATTAGGGCAGGATTTTGAGTACATTCATCTTCACCTACAAATGCCAAACTTCTTCTGCCCTGGCTTGACTCATGTCCACCCCTCACTGCCTACTTTCAAGAGCCATCAAAATACAATGTAGTATGTTGATGATTAATATTTCTAGAAAGCCACAAAGTAGTCCTTAAACAATAGGAATCATAAATCATTAGCTCTGTGAGGAATCTATTGGATCACTCATTTTATAGATAAGGGAAATGGAAACCCAGCAAGGCTGAAGCAGTCTCATGAACTTAGCTCTCTGGATGCCAGATTGACAGTTGCAGCCCCCCTTTTTTCTTTTCTTCGTTTTGCTTTCTTTTTTTTTTTTTTTTTTTTTTGAGATAGGGTCTCACTCTTGTTGCCCAGGCTGGAGTGTAGTGGTGCAGTCGTGGCTCACTGCAGCCTCAACCTCCCAAACTCAAGAAATTCTCCCACCTCAGCCCCCTGAGTAACCAGGACTACAGGCACGTGCTACCATGCCAGGCTAATTTTTTTATTTTTATTTTTTGTAGATAGGGGGTCTCCCTATGTTATCCAGGCTGGTCTCAAATTCCTGGGCTCAAGCAATCCTCTGCCTCAGCCTCCCAAAGTGCTGGGTATACAACCATGAGCCACCACTCCTGGCCTCCTTTTTTTTTTTCTTTTCTCCTGTGCACACCAGTATACCTGAAAATCAGTGCCGTATAGGAAATCCTGGTTTGGAAGTGTAAAATGTGTGATGATCAAACAAACAAAAAAGCAAACAAACAAGCCAGCAAGTCCACAGACTGTGTCAGCTCGGCCATTCTCCAGGAGGGGTACTTGGGATGAAGAGCTGGGAACTCTTCTGTAGAAGATAGTTCAGCTTAATCTCCCAACCTGCAGCCTTTCACTTCCTTTTCTTATAAAATGTGCTGACTTGGATTAGGGCCTGATTTCTCATTTTACTCATATTTAGCAATGAGGTCAGAGACTGGTTTTCTTCAACCATAGACACTAGATTGCCTGTTTTGATCTTTATTTTCAAAGAATGCTACCACTCTTTGGAAACTACTGGTGTTATTTCTCCAAGTGAACTGAGCTGCATGTTTTTGTGCCCTGCACAGAGGAGGTACAGGTTTTAGCAGTAACATAGGGCAAGCAAAGGGTACCGCTAGGAACCGTCATTACTCCTTGTGGTCATCATTGCCATCTTCATCTCTTAAATTTAGGCTCTGTTAGGGTCTTTACATGGATGCCTCACGTAGTATTCATATGAATGTTTTATAAATGGGAACACTAAATCTTAGAAGTTAAAAAACGTTGCCTAGGCCACATCACTAATGAGAAACTTAAGCCTGAAACCAGGAGTCTGACTCCAGATCAAGTGGTTGATTATGTGTGGCCTTGGCCAATTCACTCAGAAGGAAAATAGTACAGGATTTTCAGCAGCATCTGCATTTTGAACAGAGCATCTACACATCATATAGCTAGGGGTGTTGGTTCAGATTGCCGCCTTTGAAGGTTGGACATGAAAGTTAACTTTTCTGTCTTCATTTCATCTCCAGTCTAACAGTAATAATAACAGGTTGCTGTAGGAGTGAAATGAAAAATTGTAGCATCTATGAAAATCCCTAGAGCAGTGATAAGGACTTGGTAAATCTCACTTTCCT